TGACATCCGCACATACACATGTGACATCCACACATACACAGAAATGGTTTTTAGTCAGCCGCTTTCACAACCCCCCAGGGCAGGACCTCTTCACAATAGGGAGTGGGAGTCAAAGCAGCACTGCTGGTTCTCTTTGGGGGCCCAGTGTTAGCTTGCCCTTCTGGGCTCCCCGCCCCTGCTGGTGGCCAGGTCCCTCTGCAGTGCGCACCCCTTGGCAGCCATGGTTCCCCTCTCAATCTTGTGCTCACAGACACTGCCCGGACTCCCGGCGGACGTTCACCAAGCGGCTGATGCTGGAGAAGCACATACAGCTGATGCACGGCATCAAGGACCCCGACGTGAAAGAACTGACTGAAGGTTCCAACGAGGAGGAAACCGAAACCGAGATAAAGGAAGACGCCAAGGTCAGACATCTCAGCTGGTCTTCGCTGTGGTGGTGCTAATGTGGGTTCCCTGTTCATTCTCTCAGACTACGTCAGCATCCCAGCTCCCAGCGGCTCCTGAAACGTAACCTTTTCTAAGTTTTTTTCTGTGTCCTTGCAGAAATAACACACAGGAGCTCGTCATAGAATTCATAAGATTATACTTTGACTTAGGGAATTGTCAGATGCTTTTCACTGGCTGTGGCAGCTGTTCAAAGCGACTCTAATCTCTTTGGAATGGAAAAAGATCAGATTCCTCGACCACGCCTTAGTCTTCTCTGTGTAGGTGATGAGCCTCAGTCAGCTGGCAGGGGCCTGTGCACGAGGTACCGAGTGTTCTGCTAGTTGGAGTTACAGAAAGCACCATGTAGCAGTCACTGCTGGCTTTGGTGCCAGGAGAAGTCTAGAACGTACTTGGGCTAAAGCGGTTTCTCAAGACATGCATTAGCGCTTAGTCCTTGAGTATGCCCCTCATCCAGAGTTAAGCAGGTGTGGCACTGGGCCATCTTCCCCACAGGAAGTTAAGTGTATGCAGAGGTAGCTGCAGGTGTAGGCCTTCAGAGCCATGCCTGAGTACAGAGGGTACAGAGGAAGTGGAATCCCTTGGGATTTAGAAAGCTAGGGGAAAGGAAAAGGCAGCTCCAGAGAGGACATGGTGTGACAAGGAGGACCAGGAGGACAATTACAAGGGGCAGGAGCAGGTACTGGGTCCACGGAGTCTTGTAGTAATCCCCTCTAGGCATAATGAAGGCGTGTGCCCATGTTCTCTCGTGAGGTGCTTTACTCTGTGTCCCCGGGCCTAGTCTTCTGAACTTCCTATTTCTGTCCACTCTGTGTCCTGTGAGCGCACAGGCCTTGCTCCCGCCTGGGGCTTTAGCACTCAGCATCTAGTGTCTGAATCAGACACCCCCCCCATCCACATGTCACCTGTCACCATGGCCCTTCATGACTGTGCCTGTCATCACTTGACCCCTGCCAAGGTTTTCTCCCAGGAGCCCTTGCCATGCCTTTGCTTTGTCCTCCAAGGTGTGGAAGGCCTGGGGTACTGCTTCCCTATAGCCCAAGATCATGAGCTCCTCATTCACTGCTGTGTACAGTGACTCTGGAAGCACAGAGTGCTTCCTGCTGGGGATGGGGCGGGAGGGTAAGCTGCAGGGTGGAGTCACATCGATAAGGCCCCGGTCCCCCTGCATCCAGTGTCTGCTTTCCTAGCTGCCTCGGCATTGCTTACCAGGCACAGAGCCCACCACCTTCAGTCGTATCATTTTTTTTCTTCCTTCCCCCCAACAAAGGCTCCCAGTCCCAAGCGGAAATCGGAAGAACCGGTTTTAGAGTTCAGGCCTCCCAGAGGAGCCATCACGCAGCCTCTGAAAAAGCTGAAAATCAACGTCTTTAAGGTTCACAAGTGTGCCGTGTGTGGCTTCACCACGGAGAACCTTCTGCAGTTCCACGAACACATCCCTCAGCACAAGTCAGACGGCTCCTCCTACCAGTGCCGCGAGTGTGGCCTCTGCTACACGTCCCACGGCTCCCTGTCCAGGCACCTCTTCATTGTCCACAAGCTGAAGGAGCCTCAGCCCGCGTCCAAGCAGAACGGGGCTGGGGAGGACAGCCTGCAAGAGAATAAGCCCGGCCCCGAGGACGAGGCCGCCGAGGGCGCAGCGTCAGACAGGAAGTGCAAAGTGTGCGCCAAGACTTTTGAAACGGAAGCTGCCTTAAACACACACATGCGGACACATGGCATGGCCTTCATCAAGTCCAAAAGAATGAGTTCAGCTGAGAAATAGCCACAGGTCTTCCACAAGAGAAGCCCCATCACATAGGAATTGGAAACAAGACTTTTTTGTTACCGAAAGTTTGCAGTAAAACAGAGTTAACAGTACTGTCTGGGCTGTCGCAATATGTCCCGTCCCTCACCTCCTCAGATGTATCCCTCCCCATAAGTATTAAGGCAGTATTTGAGTTTTAAAGAATTTGTATATATTTAAATAACTTTTTATACTCTTTGTTACATGTTTGTATCAGTATTTGGTGGAAAATGTTTTGAGGTTGTTTTTTTATTTTGGTTTGTTTTGGGTTAGAGTTTTCCTTTTTTGTAACGTTTCTTTAAAGCAGAGTTCTTAGTAACAGGGGCAGTTCCTGAATTCAAACCAACCATTTTGTATGTTACAAATTTGAATGAGTTCAGTAATTACAGGCTAACATGCCTTTTTTAGTGTTTTTAATTTTTAGAACTCACCACATAAATTATAGGTGATTGTGGGTCTCACAACACTGGCCACTCTTAAGTGTCTTAGCACCACACTCAGCGTGCCTGTTCCTAGCCACTGAGGGCTCCTAGGACAACAGCACCCAGGTGAGGGCGTGGCCTGAACCCTCCCGCACAGCATCCAAAGCAGCCCTGCTTCCTCCAGAGTAAGTAAAAGAGGCCAGGAGTCCAGCAGGGAATGCAAGCATCCTTAATCCACCTGGAGGAATGAGGAAGAGGGGATCCAGAGAGGGGAGAAAACAGCTGGCGATTTTTCTGGGTGAACTTGCGAGGCTGACTCACAGAGCATGCTGAGACAGGCTAGGAAAAGGCCAGCCTAGTGTCTAAGTTGAAGGTCGTAGTTAGACCTGTAGCTCTCCAGTCAAGTTTTGTCATGTGACTCGCCAACTACTGCAGAGACTGGTAGTTCCAGGATATCAAGTACTTCTCTGGCTCTTGACAGGATCAGAAAGGGATGGTTGACTTAACCCTTTGCTGTCTACACAGTTGGTGTTTCCTGTTCTGGGTGCTACTGCCAAGTGTCCTGGTACTTAGAGCTGGGATGCACAACTTTACCGCCGACCTAGCAATGCAGCCGCCTGTCCTCTGCAATTGGCCACAGACGAAGCCCTGAGCCACCAGGCTTCTAGAGTTTCTGCACCCTCTCCCGGCCGCCTGACTGGAGCACCGTGGAGGTGCCCTCCTGTCACTTCCCTGGACAGTTCTCTGGGAAAGCTGTATATTTTGGTTATTGTTTTGTGTTTTCCGTTGCATTTTATATCTTGTATTTATCTTCAGATAGGTTTTGTACTTTTTGGTTTTGTTTTCCTAGGCCAAGAAATTCATTTGTGTATATAGATACTTGCATGCTAGACTGTAGTCAACGTTCAGTTCCTTGGAAGGTCTTGCTGCTGTTGGGTGTGCTCGCTACATCCATTGTGACTGTATTCAACCCATTTCACATGTAAATAAACGAGGAACATCTGGCCCTTGAGCTTCTTCAAGAGAGTTATTGGTGGGTCTCTGACATCATGAAATTTGGGAAGTGACTCAGTCCCGGGACAGGCTACCGAGTATTGCCGAATTCTTTCCACTCTGAAGAATGGCTTTCTCGTTCTCGCCAGTGGCCAGCTAGCTCCTCTGCCACGTTCTGTTGACTCCATCGGTGCAACCCAAGGGTGTGCAAATACTGCTCGACTTGAAGCTTCATTGCTGTTCCTTGTCGCATCTGTGTTGCTCCCAATTGCGTTCCTTGGCACTTTCACGTGCTCCTGCGTTTGAACCTTGCAATAGGCCTGCGTGGTAGCCACGCAGGTCCCGACAGCCTACAGTCGGGCAAGTACGGTTGAGGGAGCTGAGTTCAGGCTCAGCTCTTCGTCTGAGTCCTCGTAGCTGGTAAGTGGCTTTGCATATTAGAACCCAAATATTTTGCTCTCAATCTAGTACTGGCTCTTTGTGGTTATGTACATATTGACAAATACTCATTTATGCAACAAATAAAGTTATGTGCGAAGTACAATAGTCAAACTTTTGTTTGGGGCACAATGGTTTTTTTTAGAAATTTTATTTATACTTAGGTGCTTGTGTGTCAGTGTGAGTGTGGCACACGTGAGTCGCACAGAGGTGCCGCAGAGGGCAGAAAATTCAGGTCTGTGAAGCTGGAGTTGCAGGTAGCTGCAAACCAGTTACCTGACCCAGAAGCCACATGCTGGGACTCAGTCTCATCCATTACTCATTAGTTACTGTGTGCTTAGAGTGGGCATTTGAGAGAGAAGATCGGGCAAGTAAATGGCTTGTCCAAGATATATTTTTTTCATTTTCTTATTTCCAGTGTCCACAATGAGTAGGCGGAAGGAGGTGCGACTCTCTCATGCCTGACCCCATTTCCCCTGGAACTGAAAGGGGAAAGTGTAATTAAACGCCCTGACCTGGAAGTAACAGTAAAAGCAGTGTCCCCTGTGTCATTGACCAGCACAAGTCGTGTGGTCCCCAGAAGCAGGAAGAGCTATCTCCCCAATGTGCCCTGAAGCCACCATGACGGCCATGACAGGAGTTATTGCTGGAGCCGTGGCGCTAGCTCAGTCTAAGGACTGGGCACAGCGGGGCAGAGACTTCCCGTCGTGAGCCAACTTCCTGAAGCCGGAAGTGGGGTTCGTGCACTGAGACAAGACAAACGAAGCCTGATTCGAAAGCTCAAGCGTAGGGCATTTCCATATTTCTCCTGGAGGCTTTGATTGAATATTAAAGATGAATTTTAGAGATGTTTTTTAAGACAGGGTTTTGTCTCTAGTTGGGCATCTTGGTTTTACCAGTAATAGCCATAGTGATGCCCAAGGAATGTCGCAGCAAAATGATACAGAATGCGAAAAGGAAAGGTGAAGGCTTAGTCCACATGACCACGTTCTCAGTAGATCGCTTCCTCCTCCCACAGTGTGAGGACAGCTGTACACTCCTGCCATGGCTTTGGCGGCGGCATTTCACCAGCGTCTCCGGGCTTGTGTGACCCCCCCATCTCAGTGTCCGACCAACACTGAAATTTCTACTTGACAACTTGGGGCACCTAGTATGAACGTAAAATAGATTAATAGACTCATGCTGTGCCCACTTTGAGGGGGGGGGGAATAAAGAAAATGTGCTGAGGAGCTCTATGAGACCCATAGAGCATTTAACCCGGGTCTGAAAACGCAGTGTGTCAGCTGCGTGGGGTTTCTCATGCCGAGATGCATACAGAGCAGGCTGCAGATGGGAGCTCTGAATCTCAGGTCTTCTGCTAAAACCTTACCTCCTCTTCAAGCATAGTTTGACCTTCCTTAAGGGGCTCCTTCGACCCGCCTCTCCATAACCCCCACCTCTCCCCCCCACCCGCCCCCGGGGGGGGGCCCCCCCCCCCCCCCCCCGTTATCTCACACTATTAACTGAGTCAGTTATATGTATAATGGTGTGGTTACATAGCCCGCAGCTGCACAAAGCGTGAATGGGGATTCAAAGCCACCACAGTGGAAAACCACTAAACCACAAAGGAAGACAGTAAGAGGAAGATATTGAAATAGAACTCCCAAGCCAGAAGACAAATGACCCACCATAACCTCAAGTTCTTAACTATTACTGCCGCTTTGTATGCAAGCTGATTATATCCTCCAATGAAGCAGCAAGCTGAGGGGCGTTCTTCGGAAGCTCGCCTGTATGCTGCCTACAGGAGAGTCCCCTTTACAGGTACACACAGACTGGAAGAGATGGGTATTCATCCGGAAGAAATGAGAGGGGTAGGGATGCTTAAGGCAAAATAGACAAAGTCAAAAAATTAAAGAGACCAAAGACATCCTATGATAATAAATTCAGTTCATCAACAGATTGTACCAATTATAAATGCAAACGTACCCCAGCACTGAGCTACTACATATATTAATGAAATGGTAATAGATTTGGAGGGAAAGATTCTTTATTATCAAAATAACAGGGAACTTTAACGCCTCATGGTCAACAAGGACCATTCCCAGAGCAACCAATTAGGGAAGCATTGGGCTTTTGTTACACTTTGGACCAAACAGACCTAAAAAAAGACATCCACCGTACATTCCATCCAGCACCAGCAGGATACACATCCTTTCAAATACTCAGGAGACAGTCTTCAGGACAGTTACTATGTTTGCTACAAAACAAGTCTGCGCAAGCTTGGAAGGACTGAAAACGTCAAGTGTCTTTCCTGACCACAGTGTATAAAGATAGTACTAGAAGTCTTGAAATGCTCAGTTAAAAATGGAAAAGGAAATCAAATTGGCCACATGAAAATGAAAATTAAGCCCGTGGGGCACAGTAAGAGCAGGTGTGAGAGGGAAAAGGAGAGCCATGCATGCATTGCTGCTGTTGTAAGAACTTCTCGCCCCAAAGAACTATCACCGCCCCCAAAACACTCATTCTAAATATGTGGGACTTGGTCCATGGGACTTGGACATGAGGTTAAATTGAAATGTGGTTACTGTCAGCCTTCCCTGAACCTTCTCTTTTGACGTGCACTTTAACCCTCTCTGCAGTCCTAATGGGTTCTGGTGACTATATGAGTATGCACTCTAAACATCACACCTGCAAGCCCAGACCTTGGAAGGTCAAGGAAAGAAGAAAGCTGTTTGTTTTTAGGGTGATCTGGGCTATGTAATGATTTCAAAGTCAGTCTATGCTGCACAGAGTGAGACCATCTCAAACAAAACCAAGGCCCCTCAATATTTTAAGTGATGAAATTTTTATAGCCAGCTCCCCCCCTTTTTTTTCTTCCTGGGCATCTGCTCCCTTATGTTCTCTGTCTTCTTAGGAAGGGCAGATCGGGGGTGTCCAACATAGATCTTGTTTTAGTAAATTATGAGTTTCCCAGCAGAACACAGCATTCTAGAGAAGGCTTAACGTTAATGTTTTAAAACCTTATTTTAACTTTAAAGTTAATTAAAATAGTTGCATGGGTTTGTGCACGAGGGCATTGCCAGTGGAACCAGGAGACGTAAAATCCCCCGGAGCTGGAGTCCTATGTGGTTGTAAGCCACCTGACATGGGTGCTGAGAATCAAACCTAGGTCATCTGCAGAAGTGGAATATGCTCTTCCGAACCACTGAGCCTCCCCTCCCATCCTTGAAAGGTTTAAAAGAGAATTCAGAAAGGGGCTCCACAAAGCCCTGCAGTGGAACAAGGGATGTTGAAGCCTTGAGGGGCTAGCCAAGTGCAGGTCGATTATCAGGCATGAGAAGTCTAAGCAGTTTTGGACAGACAGCCATAGAACAGGGCCCCTCAGCAGTAGGCATGGCAGGAGCAGGCCATGTCCATTGTCAGAACCAAGGCACAGAAGAGGGCAGAGGCTGTGGTCGAAGGCTACCTGTTTTCTTGTCAGCATGTATTGTGTCTTTCCAGGTAAGGTGAAGATGAACCAAAGTACCAGCTCACCAGGTTTGTCCTGGAACTATACCCTTCCTTCTCCCAAGTGGATATTTTTGCTTGAGGAAACAGAACAGTGATTCCCAGAAAAACATCCTTTACCAGCTTCTAAATTCTGTCCGCAAGGCTGGCCCCGAGTCACCACGCGACACTGTTCATACCACTCGTCTAGTTCACTGCCTAAAGGAACTGCTGTTCTGCTTGCTGCATCTGCAGCAGGTTGTACAGTGCACTGCCATGCCACGTCTGTCTCTAAACACAAGAACAACCGCCTCGTTTGCAAGACTGTGTGGGAAAATACCATAGTTAGAGTCCCCCATGACAGACATTCCTCTCAGTTCCAGAAATTGTTGGTTCAGTCCAAGCTATTCTCTGACTTCATGTCATGCGAGGCCTAATCAGACTGGTTATTTCTGAAAACATCGTGTGTAGCGGAGAGCAGGGCAGGCACAGGTCTACTGGGTGGAGGGAACGATGTGAGGTTGGTAAGGGCCAACAGAGCCGAGCTGCACTAGGGAGCCTGCTGCGGTATGGATCTTGGCTGGAAACAGACGTGGGCTCCTCCTATAGAGGCCAGGAGACCCCTCACCAGGCGCCCATTCCCCTGCTGTGACGCTGCTGTAGAAGCGGGGCGTTTCACATGTGTCCATGCTGGTGGCTGCGACTGTGGTGGCTGCCCTTGTGTAGTTAGAGGGAAAGAGCCCGGTCCCCTTTAGGGCTGGAGAGATGGCTCAGTGGTTGAGGGTGCTTGTTTTTGTAGAGGGTTTGAGTTTGCCCCCTAGCACCTTATGTTGGGTGGCTCATAAACACCAGCTCCAGGGAGCCGGACACCCTCTCCTAGTCCCCATGGGCATCTGTGCTCCAATGTGCACAGTCACACACAGACACAAGCACACATGTTTTTAAAGTAAAAATAAACTCTTAAAGGGAACTTGGGAGCCATCTTGGATGCTCACACTGTGGGATGCTGAAGTGTAAACTCAGTTGCCCTCTGAATAAGACATCCACCAAGCAACACACCAATGCTGGCTATTTGAGAAGAGACTTCTCAGGATAGCTGGACCTGAAGCTGGTCCCCATCTCCTTCCCCCACATCCTGTCACTGGAAGGGCCTCACCTCCCAGGGCTTCCTCCCACCACCCCTCTTCTTCACATACATCCCTCACGTTCCCACCCAACCAGTTTGCCACCATGCTCCCTCCTCTGCGAGGCTGTGCTCTCCCACAGTTATTTCAGGAAAGTTTTCCTTATCTTTCTGTTCAGTTCGGTCTTCTCTGCTATAAAAGCTCTTCCTATTTCCCTGACTAAAATGTGAGCCAGCCAGAGGGCAGTTCTGGTGCTCTCCTGAAATCCCAGCCCTTGGGAAGGAGAGGCAAGAGGATCATGCATACGGGGGTAGTCTGAGCCATTTGGTAAGATCCTGTTTTGAGGAATGAATGAATGAATGAATAGATAGATGAATGAATGAATGAATGAAGTATACCGGTCAGCTGCCCACATACCTGCTACACCAACCTCCCTCTTTGGCTGTGTTATTTTTCTCCGCAGCGTCACCCCTACCCGATGCGAGTTGTCTATTTGCTAACGGTCTCTCACATT